TCCTGTTCTACACGGTTTAGTGTTCTGATCCAAGTTTTCATTTTCCCAGGTGATGCGAGATGCTCAAAGAACGACACCAAGCATAATTTATATCCCCCATATCCATTTGTGGTGGGAGGCTGCTGGAATTGCACTGAAAGCTACTTTTAAGACACTACTGCAGAACATCCAGACATCAGCTCCAGTTTTGCTGCTTGCAACATCTGATGTGTGTAACGCAGCTCTCCCAGAAGAGGTATTTCTGTCGATACTTTTCTTGCTTTTTTCTTCGACTTCCTGTTAATGGATAAATCCTTTAAGCATTGGAGTACGGTGCACTCTTAAGCAAATTCATGCTGGTATTACTCAAGCATCCTTATCAGGTCCCTTCAAATTTCTTTAGACAAAACAGTGCTGAAAGCGTGTGTCTAAAGTGTTTTCTGAGTCAAGAGATTGGCTTTGACCCGACTTTCTCCCCTTCTCACACCGTCATGCTTAGGAGACAAATGTCTAAATTTACTTCAGACAGTAATTGCAGTGACCTCAAGGTGGTTCGGTATGTACTTAGTCAGGAATATACAGTGCTTGAAATGGAAATGGGAAAAAGCTATTTGGACCGAAAACATTGTTTCTGAAAAGTGAAAGATATTTTAGCTTAACTTTCTGCAGAAGTTTTCATACTGTTAATAAATGCCTTCTCAACTAAGTATTGGAATTCCTTCCAGACGTGATGGTAGTAGAGATTGAAAAATGGGAGTAAAACTTGGAAGTATGCAACTTCAGACACAACATTTTAAGTAATTCATTTAAAAAAGAAAAAAAAAAAACCCAAGCCAAAAAACCACCTTACCAAAAGGCCCTGGCACTTGTTTGAAGCCTGCCTCTTGCCTCTCTAGCTGCCATAACAATTGAAACGAAAGAACAGTGAGGCAGGTAAACACATAACAAGCAGTCTTGGAGGTGGTGACTGTCACCACTTCCTCACTGTATGATATGGTCCCTTCACAGAGCCGCGTGTTCTCTTGAGGTGTTCCTTTGAGAAGATATTTTAATTCACCATGCTAACAACGTGGCCTTTTGAGGCCAAGAAGATAACTGTTCACAGTTTGTCTTATCCAGATGATTATTCAGCTTAATGTAGAGAGATACTGATCTTTTTTTAATAGAATATGAATTTGTGTGGCCTTCTACCTGAAATACATTTTCTCCTCATGCTTTAGATAAAAGAATTGTTTATGAATGATTATGGAGAAGTTTTCAAAATCCAGCTGGATCTACCAAGGAAGAAAGAAGAACGTTTTTTGAGGACGTCACTATCAATCAAGCTGCTAAAAGTCCTGTGTCAAAAAGCAATGCAGGTGAGGGAATTCCACGTATAAAACTTTGCTAATGGTGAGTTAACAGCTAGAAAGTACATGCTTTGGTGGTAATCTTCTATCAATACTTTTTCATATGCTTGTATCTGAGTACTGTAAGTTGACTAAAAGTTTCAAAATGTGAGGTAAAGCCAGAGACGATGCATTCAATATGGTTATGAAGTTCAAGTGCCGTGGTTGCTTTACGGTGTGAGACCCTGGCCTTGACAGCCTAGCTGACTCTTAAAGGCTTCTAAATTGCTACCATAGATGAGGATGCTGGATTTTGAAGGAAGGACTGTTTTCGTAATGTTATGGATTACTTTTTCTGATACCTCTTTGTAGATAGGTCAAAAAGAAAGCGCAGAACGAACAAAAGATCTTCAGGTATCGCAGCAAAGAGGAGGAATTTTCAGTTCAATCAAGAGAAGAATGTTCCAGAAGACCAAAATGAAGCCGAGAGTGAGGAAGAGCCTTCAGAAAACCATGTTCCTAACACCGCTTTCACTGAAGGAGGGTCCACCCAGGATTCTTCTCTGGAAGAAAATGGAAACGTCCTTCAAGCAGTGTGGGTCCAGAGTCACCTGTGGAGTAGGAGACTTATGTCCTCATGGTTGCAGGCAGGGTCCTGTGCAGCCTGCTCTAGGTGACCCTGCTTCGGCAGGAGGGTTGGACTAGATGACCCACAGAGGTCCCTTCCAACCAGGACCATTCTGTGATTCTGTGGTTCTGTATTTGTGTGTGTGTGTGAGAGGGAGAGATGGGACAAAATGAGTAGGTTTTTGATGAAATTTGTTTGGGAAACAGTGAAGCGTTCTGCCTTCCGAAGAAAAATTAAATTTTGTTTGTTTAAATGTTTGCGGAAGGAGTCACACAGTCATCAGCAGCCTGTTGTCTGAGTAAGGCTGTGAACTAAAAATGGCTGAATGCTACCATGCAGAGCAACCTAAGAGCTATTAACAACTGCCATAACTTCTTTCTGTTGACTTACTAGGATCTTCAGCATTCTTATTTTTGTCCTACTTAAATAGATTTTTTTTGTTTGTTTTACTGTGCTCACCGAGAGAGACAATAAACCTGAAAACAGTGTATTTTTGCAAATCCTCAAACACTTGTTCTTAAATCTGTAAGAAAATCAACATTTGACCTAATTTTTAAGTGGTGTCTAAAAACTTGGCCAAGTGTCTCTTGCTTTGTGCGTACTGTATTAAAATGTCATACAGATTATGTGTGCTGTTTTAAATGGGTTTTTGTACTTGCCTATCTTTGCTCTTACATGTCAACTTTTTATCTTAGTACTGCAGAAGCACTCTTGCCAAAAATGGATGACATGGAGAAGGTGGAATTGCTTTGTCCTGGTTTCTCTGACACTGTTACATTATTAACCTGTGATTAATTGGTGCACTCAGTTTTATGTCTGGACAAGTCTTCAGCTATCACATGCACTAAACCCTATTTTAGAGCAGAAATCCTTGTTACTAATCGTGGGTGCCAGAATAATGTTCCTGTTCTCTCCTCCTGTACCTTAATTTAATCTTTTGTGTATATTGGAGTGCCTTGATGATGTTACTATCTAGGCACCAAATACGCCCATGTCAGCTTTTGTGCAGATTGGTGACTGATCTTTCTTTTTTCTTTTGATATGTACTCCCGAGGACAGAACGAAATCCAGAGAGCTGACAAAGAAATAGGTGATAATCAAGGTAGCCTTATAGGTTAGTTCTGTTTCAGCTCTAGCCAAAAGCCTTGTCACAAGCTAAACTAGTGGGTATTTTTCTTCTCTTCAAAAAGTGTGTCTTGCTCTTGACATTACAAGCCATAGACATGGACTCCAGGGGTAGTGAGCTCAGAGCAGGTATTCAGAGGGGAAAAAAAAAAAAAAGGAATAATCAGTGCTTTGCCAAAATGCTCACAAGATAAAAGGCAGCAGATGGCTGTAGACAGGTGGGAATACAAAGAAATGGATGAAATTTCTTGAAATTACTCGAGACGGAGAAAGAGTGACCTCATTGCCGCAGGAGCACGACAGTTTTCACGGCTTTGAGCAGCACAGCAAGGTTTTTCGGGAAAGAAGGGAAGCTGCCAGATGTGTGTGGAAGGCTCCTCCCGAGCGTGAAGATCAGCAGGGGAGAGGACAGCATTGCTCATTTTTGTGTTCAGGAAGCTGCTGTCCGGGCCTCGACTTAGGAGCTGTCATCCCGGTGCTCAGTGGAAAACAACATGAGAAATAAGGTTTAACTGTAAAAGGCCATGTTAACTTTCTGTTTGAAATGAGGGGGGGAAACTTGAAGTTTTTGAGGAGAACGATAGTTGTGATTAAGGCAGGCAGTCCAGCGATCCTTGTAGGAGCTTTCTGGATGGAACGGAATGGGACGGGACCATACTTAAGGACAGAAAAGGATGTGGGCTACTCCCAGGGCCACCAGCCCATCCAAGTCCTGTCTGCACAAGCCCAGAGGAGGACTTGGATCAAGTAGGAGCAGCCACCTTGCCTGGGCCCCTGCCAGGGCTGTCCCAGCAGAGCCACCAGCCCCGGTGTCCAGGCGTGAAACCCATCTGGATGGGTCATGAGGACCAGCTCCCCGGATCACTTTTGGACTAAGGGCTTCCTGCCTATGGGTGGGACGTACGGTGGGACGCGGGGGAAGAGCAGTTCCCACAGGGCTTATTATAGGATCTTTATGGCAGGGGCCACAGGGGGGGGGTTATGGGATTTTTTTACGGTGGGACACGGGGGAAGAGCAGTTCCCACAGGGCTTATTATAGGATCTTTATGGCAGGAACCAAGGGGAGGGATTTAGGTGATTTTGGGAGGAACAAGAGTGGGAAAATAGGGGGGCAAGGGGATAAAAAGGGCCAGGCACATGTAAATAGTTTGCTGCTTAGCAAACGCTTGACTGTGCCCTGCGCCTGGTCACATGTCAGACCATCAGACCATCAGAACTTGAATGACAGATGATTTACACAACACCCAGTGAGGACAGTATCTTGTACACGTTACACCGACTGGGGGAGATTTGACCACTGGCAACGGAGACATACAAAAACATTCAAGCTAGACATCCAGGTGTTAGTGAGCACTGTGCTGATCTTGTTCCTCATCACAAACAGGCCAGAGAGCAGTCCGTGGCCTGTTGTTAGGTCTGTTGTTAGTTCACACCTAGCCTGTGGCTCCCAGGCACACGCCTCAGTGGTCAGACCTCCTCGCAGAGCAGTGAGAGGACATGTGGAGCCACAGGACAAGTCCAGTGAGAGGCTGACCCACAGAAACCACAGTAGAGCAAGGCATTAATAAGAAGAAACAGATCAAGGGTGCCAAGGGCATTTGGCTGGTAAGGGACTCCATCTTTTGGAGATCTGGGCAGGAGAATATCAACTCAAGGCTTTAAGAAGAGCAGCTCTGATACAAGGCATGGGCAGTCTAGACGGGGAGCCATATGGCTTGGTTCAAGTGTGTGGATCTCAGGGCACTGGGTAGGAGAGACTTGTAGAAAGTAATTATACATAATATGTTGAATGGGCAAGAAGAATATGGGGCAATCCATTTGTGATCAGAGTCAAGACTCCAGAATTTTAAATAGGAAAACAAATAAAACATACTTTTATGCAAGGGGAAGGACTAGAGGAGCAGAAAAGTAGAGAAATTTGTGCCTTTGTGACAAAAGTCTTGGAGTACTAAGGGCTGGGGATGGCAGTGATGCCAAAATCATTTCTCAGTTTTCCAAGTGCTGTGTGTATCTTGTGTAACTTGTCACAGTGCTTTCTGAATGAAGATCTTTTGCAGGGAAGAAAGAAAAGGGTAGTGCTTTCCAAGGAATAAAATTCACTTCATTTTGGTGGCAGCGCCGGCAACGTCCCCGAAGGGGCATTGCCTTGTCGTCATCCCCTTGCGCTGCACTCTTCTGCCTGCAAAACCCACACATCTCTCACAGAATCACAGAATCACAGAATGGTAGGGGTTGGAAGGGACCTCTGTGGGTCATCTAGTCCAAACACCCTGCCGAAGCAGGTTCACCTACAGTAGGCTGCACAGGACCTTGTCCAGACGGGTCTTGAATATCTCCAGAGAAGGAGACTCCACAACCTCCTTGGGCAGCCTGTTCCAGG